CGCTTACATACAGCTTGCACTCCTCCTCTAACCTCTACACACGTTTTTTCCGGTCTCTTGGTCATTTTGGAAGCGAATTATGAGTGGAGAATCTTGTGGGGAGTGTAATGAGTCATTAATTTTAGTGGCAAACCCCGCCCACTTCGGTGCATGCTAAGCCCACCAATAGCATTTAACCCCATTCCCTCCAGCAACCCTAATCCACATCTTTCCCACCCTCCAGGACTTCTAGGAATCGAGGTATAAGCCTGGCTGCAGACTCCGCCCACTTCAGGGTGTGCCACGCCCAGCGCTTACATACAGCTTACACTCCTCCTCTAACCTCTACACACGTTTTTTCCGGTCTCTAGGTCATCTCGGAGCAGAATTATGAGGTCTTGTAAGGGACGAAATCGAGCTACGTATCTTTGTGGCAAACCCCGCCCACTTTCGTGCATGGGTCGTCCACTGATATCAGTTGACTATCATCTCTTTCCCAACCTTTTTCTAGTTTTTTCTAGTCTCCGGAACCTATTGGAACCGGGTTATGAAGTTCCGTGGTAAATCTCCAGGACTCCTAGGAATCGTGTTATGAGGCTGTTTGCAAATTGCGCCCACTTTGGTGTAAGCCACGCCCAGCCCTGACATTTACCTTCTCCTCCTCTCCTACCCTCTGTCCACTGTTTTCCGATTTCTAAGTCTTCCCGGAGCCGATTTATGAGCTCTTCTAGGGTGTCGTCTACTTCAGGACTCCGCCCATTGTTAGCGGACCTTCACATCATGTGTGCTGGAACATTCGTAGACATCGGAGCACCCCTTTTCTAGAGAACGCCCCGCCCACCGGGGGTAAGTCTCCTCATTTCAATCTGGCTTACCAACACAGTCTAATACCCACTTCTGTCCCCAGTCTCGAGGCTGTTCTTGACTGGATTTGGAATCATGGTCCTCAGTACGATGCACGCCTTGCCCACTGTGGGCGGGGCTCCGTTTAGCTGATGTATGTTTTTTACTTCTAGAGATATGGTACACCCATCCCAAACTTTGGCCTGGACCCTGTAGGTTGTTGTTCGCTCAATACCGAATTTCGTGACAGACGGACAGACAGATATAGCGCATTATATATAGTAGGATTTCATCTATTTCGTCTCCAACTATGGCTGACCGGCTTTATATTAGGTTGTTCGGAAAGTATTGCGGGTTCCGAGATGCCATGCATTCATGTTTTTTTTTATACTGATATTTCATTCGAGACCTGAAGCCCTATATATCATTGGCAAACCTATTGTAGCTTCTTTCCTTTAGTGTATTCGAATTTCAATATGGCTTGCTATTTCGGGTTTTTTATAGATTTGAAATGGTGTCAAGACAGTGATTCTTGCAAGTTGACTTCGATGTGCTGAAACTTTGAGGTAGTGCTTCGTAGACCAGCGAAGTAACACTGAAGGATGGGGCCAAGGAAGTACTAATAAAAGCACAGCACCACTTCGGCTCCAATATTTTGGTCTCAATGAAGTCCATCGTGAAGGAGAGGGGAGTCATGAGCATGGATCAGCTGTTAGCGACGGCCTTCTAAAGGTTCCCGTAGAAGATGGCTTCGGACCAACTGCACTACAGTTAGCAGTAGGACTGGTAGTAAGTATATTGGAACGATTGTGTCTCATCAAGATAACTGGGGAGGTGAAAAAAGCTCAGATGGCTACCGCATTGGCTACCCGATGCAGCAGGAGAACCGTATTCCTGTGTCGTTTCCACCCATTTTGCGCAAGAAAACCACGAATATTAGGAAAGCATTGCAATCTAAAATGGAAAATGGACTGTTCGCGAATATAGCAGGCCATCCCTTCACAAGCTGAACCGCGGTAAATCTTCTAAAGTCTAAATTGTAATGGGTCAATGTTGAGCTGAACATTCGATTCGGCGGTCTCCCACGGGGCTGATGCACCACACCCCTTGAAAACCAGTGAATTTGACACAACGCCAATGTCTCTCCAGCGTACCGATGGTGCTCTAGAAACATCAACTTCACTTACCAACTTCAACAGAGAGAAATGAAACAACCCTCCTTCATGGTGGCACTCAGCCATATGTCCCATAAACGATCTCGCAGAGATTGGACAAACTGACATACGAAGCTTTGCTCAACACGTCGTACTCATTGGACCTCTCGCTCACCAACAGCACTTTTTCCAACCATCCCGAAAGCTTCATGAGCAAGAAATACTGCTGTGTTCAAAGTGACCTGAAAATGACCTTCCATGATTTCATCGCCTACAGAAGCGCTCATTGTCACATAAGCGGGTCAATTGAGTGTGCATCATGCTAAAAAAATGTAGTTTAGAATAGTTTTTGTGGCGATCGAAAATGTTGAATTCACCGAACAGTAAAAGTGGAGCATGAAATAAATACACAAAAATGCGAAAATGGTCAAAATATATAAGCTAGAACGCAATGGAATACTATGTGGAAATCCTGAGTTCCAAAAGACATACGGTGAGTTATACAATGATACAGAGATACGAATAAGTGAGCGATCATAATATGAGATACATCAGATGAGAAATGATGATGGAATGCTTGAGATGACAGTAACTTCTCGAATTTCTTCTCGAAATTTGGATTGATCTGTAATTTGAAAAAACGATGGGACAGAGAAATTACATTTGAGAGCTGCTTTTTAAGATATAGCTGAACAAGTACAAAAGTTGCTGAATGCATTGGAGAATTTGGAGAGCGCCTTGCGAAGGAACCAGGAGGTGAGGAAGCGCAGGAGGGCGTACGCTCGAAGGTAACACGCGCCTTCTGCCCACCCGTATGAGAACTTTTGATGAATACCTAGCCGTGGCCGATCCTTCCAACTTCAAAAATTACACGGGATAAATGCCGAAAGAGTTTGGACACTTCTATGAGGTTCTCGCTGATAGGCTAAGGCATCCTGTAACTCACGCCTCTCCAATATCTGCGGAACAGTGGCTTTTGGCTTTTTTTTGAGAAATCCCTTTTGACGGTGCTAATACCTGCAAATTAATATTTGTTGGGCACGGCTCCGAGTTCTGCGCCGAGAACGACACTAACGATAAGTGGCATTATTTTTGAAGTGGCAAGGGCTATGATGTAAGGTGGATTTCACGACTAAGCAACGAATGTCGAACGAATATAAGGCACTAACATTCTGCCATTTTTTAGTCTCTTCATTTCAGTGCTATACTCGAGAGCTTTCCCAGAAATCACAAGAAACATGCTGAAGGAGATTGCCCTCGAAACGAATGAGAGATATGATTACCCACCGCCGCTGGGTTCATGGATAGAAATATACAAATATACAGGGGGGGCAATAAAAAAAGGATATTTTGTCTCTAGGCTAAAATGGCTTTAATCACACTTTGCTCAGCTCAAAGTGTGTGCTCCCAACTCAAAATTGAAGAGCGTTTTCATTTATAAGAAAACCGTCATAGTTACCATCTACGTGGACGGCATCACGAAAATTTTCCCCGGGAACTTGGGTGCTCTGGTCGAGCTCAGTGGGGTTCTCGACTGATCGTGTACCGTTACGACGGGTTTCGAAGGGTGACCGAGGGGGTTTGCATAGTTAGAGCTAATTTCCCTAGAAAACTATCCCACATCGAATCAATCCAAGAAGTCATGTCAGAGCTTCAGGATGAAGCAGTTACTGTAGGCCTCCCTGAGCTCGACGACGGTGAAAGATGTCGTCATATTTTTAAGACGGTGAGGGTAGTGAGGGAGGGCCTGTACTCATAGAGGGACATTCAAGGAATATTTTGCTTAGGAACTTCCGTCAGCGACAGCAATCTGTGCGAACAAAAAAAAAGCCGGAGTCCGACCTGAGCAAAATGTCTTTTTTCTGGCCCTCCCTGTATACCTAACATGAGGAATAAACAAGCCAGGCGCTCCTCTAAAATATATTCTTTGGTTGAAGAGCCTGCGCACACTGGTAGCAGATATTATAGCTACAAAAAAGTGCAGCATCGTCCTACTAGCTGTCGTCGACTGCAACTGCCGCTTCTTACTGTTTGAGGTGGGTATACCGGGCGCAGAGGGAGATGCAAAAAGCAACGACCACATCTTCCCTCCAACACGGAGGCTTGGGAATGTGGGACCGGTGCAACACATACTAGTCGATTGCGACTTTGCGCAGAGACGTCGCTTCGTTTAGCCATACGCGAAGGAAGGCGCAAAACCGCGAGCAGGATGTTATTCACCAGAGCACACGTAGTAGTTGAAGAAACTTTTGGACTACCAAGAGCACGATTTCATATACTCGGACGACCAATGGAACTGAAGCACTTTTTCGGGCGTCGCTATTTCTTGAACGGTACAGTCTCGAGATTTACTATTACAGGCAACAAGCGAGAGAGCGAATAAGGGGTTATTATGACCGAGTGTACGGCGCTCCTTTTTGGGCGTAATTAAGCATGACTTTCGCGGCGCGTCGTTATTTTCCTTTTGTATACATTTGACTTTGACTACTAAGCCAGTGTCAGACTTGGCAAATCGAGTGATCCGGCAAATCACTCGATTCGCAAAGTCTGACACCGGCCTGAACGGGATCTCACTGATTTCCAAGACTGTTCCAGCTTTAACTAACCTAATCACTCCGGTGCGCCGCTTCCTCCTCCACGTTTACATCAAAACCAGCGGGAGGCGCCGACACGACCACGTATTAGGCAGAATTACATCCATTACTTGGCGTATCTTTAGGTTGGCGGTTCCAAAGGTTTCGCACGTCTCGCGTAACTGTTCTCCTACCCATAGTCCTGAAATAGGATTGATGCACGACGTTTCGGCAAAATCTGTCGGTAGAACGCGCCCTTGGTAGTCATTCTTTTCGAAGAATGACACGGCTCCCATGTGAATCCATTGGGCTCAGTAGCGCCCCCGACGGTGCATTTTTTTCTTCCTCTAAACGTCCTTGAGGTTTTTCCATATCCCTCCAAAACGCTAACTTAACTTTTGGTCGTAAATCATCCCGAGTATAGTTCCATTTCGTAGAGAGTTGAGAAGGATTACAGCTGCGTATAACTGCGTTCATAAGTCCGCTCACGCATATCGTTAGCGATTCGCTTCCAAGCCATGTCCTTTCTATAGTTCCTCGCATAACTGGTCTGTGAGGTATCCCACAGACACGGTGCCAAGTAAGCCATTTCAATCAAATGACTTCGAAGCACAGTGGATGACAATCCTGAATACCACATATCCCCAATCCCAATCTCATGACTCTTCCGCGATCGATTGAATGAATGCCCAGAATTGCAACTGCGTTGTGTTACCAACTAAACACATTTGTCATGCAGTATTGTTTAATGTTATGCGTTTGCGTTGCGTGTTAATCGTGTCGGCACCTTCGTGCCCCAAGATTCCTGAGATTTGGAGACTTGGACTTGGAGAATTCGGGAAGTAAGAACTGAGGATAAAGGGTAGAGATTAAGGTTAAGGATTAGGTGCGCATCATCGAGAGATTAGATTAATGAACACGTACATCAAATCAATCAATTCTTACTAATCATACTAGCTTACTATTCAATGTTGAAAACTGTTCAAATGTGATCTTTTTATCTGAATCTCCTAATATCTCACTCCATCAAGTCTCATTTCCCAGTCAGTGCATTTTTCATTACCGCTAAATCTGAAAGCATTGAAATCGGGGGGCATTAACGCAGCCATCAGTGTGTTATAGCAACTATCGAAGACGAAAAACTTGTAATGAATTTTGTTTTCAGTTTAAACAAGTGTTCAAAAATAGGCATTTGACAGAAAAGAACCTGGAAGTGAAAAAAACTTCAATTGGCAAACAACTATTTTGTTAGAAACACAATTACAACGAAACTCTTCGATATTTTTGTTAGCCCTATGCATGAGCTAAAAGCAACAAACAGTGCGCGTGAAAATACAGAGTGAAAATACATGCTACTAACTAGGAAAAGAAGTGTAACGATACTATACTCTGCTACAGCTCCCAACAACGAAGCATCTTATTATTCAATTCACGGACTTCACGTACAATTCAGTCACATGCATTTCAGAATGTCCTGCGCACTTTTTCTAGAATAGGTGAGAACTGGAATCCTACAGAGATTAACCACAAAAACGATACAAATCACGCACTCTAACAAAAGCCGCACCTTCATTCATCTATACCGCGTTCCACTGTAACCAAACGCTTGCAAATGATAATACTCATCTCGTGCGCAACTGAAACTGTCCGTATCTGCCTTCGTCATTTTTCTTTTTACTCATTCTAGACAAACTATCACTAAGCGCTACACACTACTATGATTTGCGTGCCGCTACCGGGCGCCATGCAAGTTTTCGCGGCGGGGCGTCAGAATCTTACTCTCTTGCCCACCGCTCCGCTTCTTCGCATGTCTTCTCCTCGCATGTCGCCCAGTATAGCTAGAGGAAGGATTATGGGTCATGGGTAAGCATTGTATTTGTAGGATTATGGAGCTATGATACCTACACTTTTGCAAGGTGGACGACACTAGTACACCCAGCCTTACCGCAAATCTCATATCAGCTTCATGAGTATAAGGATTGATATTCACATAGAAAGGCTGCGAGGAAAACTGCAATTACTCCCTCATAAAACCTCACTATATAAAGAATTCTAGCGCATTAAGCTCAATAGTAGTCAAAAATTGAACAAAAGTTGTTGCAAGACATGAAGTCTTACCTGACACTCACTGGAGATGCAGCTGGCTGTCGTAGTCCTTCGCAGCCTTTGTACGAGCTTCGCCCAGCTCAAGTCCGCGGAATTTGGCAAAATGTCGCAGAAGTGCTTAAGAGCAGGTCTTCAACATTGTCGTCACCTCAGTTACGCCTAAACTATGAGAGACATGTGTTTACCGCGACTCCCTAGGCAATATCAAAAGCAAAACGATGAGTCATACGCCGAGTGAAAATTTCCAGTCTTGGACATGAGATTTTCAGTAGGTATTATGCGGATAATGATATTAATTGATTGATAAATGATTGGCTGATTGAAAAGCGGTTGATGAAACTGACGCCGCAAACAAGTCAAAACTACCCATAGATTTCAAAGTGTTACAAAAAAAGTGAAGTTGCGTTGGTGTTTAGAGTTGGAATACCTCCCAGTTTATCCCACTGTAGCCTTCGATGTCCTTAAGGAAAATTGTCCGCGACAAAGGCTCATGAGGTATTGCGACGACTTCCTAGCCAGATGGTGCAAAATGCTATTAATATTAGGTCGTGAAGAAAGTTCTTGCGCTTTTGGACCTTGATTTTCAAATGCCTGTATCTCGGCTAATTCGGAACCTTTTTGATCAATAATAGCTGCGTTGAATCAGCCCGGTAGTGCAGAATACTGGAGCTCTAGAGATGATAAACTCGGCGGAGGTCATTTCTGCATCATGTTGGTTTTTGACGCATAATTCCTTGGAGAAGCTATCCAGGTAGTCGAGAAAGGGATAGATTACAGGCTGAAGGTCTATCGAGCAGGATGTTCGCAGGACCAATTCGTAGCCAATCTTGTCGAACTTCTGCAGGGCTGGTTGTGGACTGTGAGTCCGAGCTAACTGTCAGGGACGAGCCGGTTCCTTTATAATGAGAAATTTTGAGCATATGTGCCAGAGCTCAAGGAGTAGTTTGACATATCATGAGGAGTACTTTTTCCACATCAACAGATCCACCTGGTCACGAAAAGTTGGACCAGCCGCCGACCTTATCAAAGTCACCTCAACCTTCCTTCACTGAAGATTCACTTTTGCAAAGTTTGTAGAGCCTGATCGCGGACGATCACCTCAACAAAGGTTCGTAATCTGTAGCAAATAATCAGTTTTTTGTCGTGCGTTGCAAATGATCAAAAAGTCAGGTCTATTTCATGGCATGAAACAAGCTAGAAAGAGGCGAACGACTCTTCAAAACGGTGAGCTGTTGCGGCGCGCCCTATTTGAGTTTTTGTGACTTTCCAGCTCTTCCCGTACAACAAGAAAACACACTGTAAGTGCGATGAGTTTGCGGAACCCTCTCAATAGATTTGTGCAAACGTGCTTCAACCAGAACGCTCGACTAATCGTTGGCGTCATCCAATCTCCGATCACCACCCTCACAATATTTAGGGCTCTCGCTATTCTTACAAATGCTTTTTGAACAATTGCTTCAGACCATATTCATTGCGAATCGCAGCCAAGTGCGTCTATAATATCTTAACCTGCTTCCTCTCCATACTGGCCTGGTTCAAGCTAGAAAAAGGAAATCATGCAAATTTGTGCTTGGAGTATGCCGTATTCAAGGCTTCAAAAAATGACAACTGAATGAAAAGGAACACAGCTTGCCTAGCTGTCAGATAGAGCAGGAAAAGCTCTTCAATATCACATACAGCTCATTGGCGGCTTTATTGAATTCGTAACAAAATAAAGCGTTCAAAAAGGAGACACCGAAAAGCGCAAGAACTTTATTCACAACCTAATAACATCGTCAAAGGATTTGCATAGCGAGTCTCTCCTTCTGAGCAATCTGCAAAAATTCCATCAGAACGACAGCTACAAAGCGATGCGCACTAATCTAATGAAAGTGACTAACCATACATCTCAGCAATAGCTGTGATGTCTTTGGGAGCTCCAATGACTATATAAACACTCCGAGCGAATTCAGCTTGAAACTCTGATGGCAGTAGTGCAGAGAAGGTGACATCACTAGCGATGAATAATAGTAGATCCGCTAGCGCAGTCTAAAATGCGTGCATGGAACTGGAGTATAGAGCAGTCACATCAAACAAGAAGTGACACGAGCACCAGTGCGCAGGAAGTTTGTTCATGAGTTGTTCATGTTAGGTTGTCTCAAAAGTTCGTGCGTACTTTTTGAAATTCGCGCCAAAATTTTCTTTATTGATTGAGCAAGCTGGTAACGAGGGCAATGTAGAGCACATTGCATAAGGTAACCCATATCCTAATCTGGCTTGCACCAGTTGCGGTTTTCTTGCAAAAAATGGCAGATGAAAAACTTCACCTCCGCCACGCTTTGCTATATGAGTGCCAATTGGGCCACAACGCAGCCGAAGCCACTCGCAACGTCTGTTCTGCGTTGGGTGCTGATGTCATCTCCCATCGCACGGTGGTGAAATGGTTCGATCGGTTTAGCTCAGGGGACTACGACTTGGAAGACAAACCTCGTTCAGGGAGGTCATCTACCTTGGATTTGGACCGGTTACGCTCCTTGATTGAGGCCAATCCCTACAAAACCACTCGCCCTCTAGCAGTCACACTCGGCTGCTCCAAAGATTCAGTGAATCGGGGTATTCGCTCCCTCGGAAAAGTCTTGAAGTTCGGCAAATGGATTCCACACGACTTGACCGATGCACAGAAGAGAACGCGCGTGGAGTACTGTCTACAACTTCTCTCCCGCTCCCGCCGAACGGACTGGTTGGACAACGTTTTCACCGGGGATGAGAGAAAAGGTGAGAAGTGGTGCCTTTATGTGAACCACACGCGGAGACGC